TGCAGAGTACTTACTCAGCACAGCCCAGTGCAGTGTACTTACTCAGCACAGCCCAGTGCAGTGTACTTACTCAGCACAGCCCAGTGCAGTGTACTTACTTCAGCTTCCGGCAAACGTGTCCCAGGTTGTTGAGTAAAGGCTCCCATTTATCCACAGTAACCTGTTTAAAAAACTGACATCATCTTACAGAATAATGAATTCAGAAATCAGTGGCTTGGGAGGGGGCGGGCGGGGGGGCAGGTCCATAGTTTCACAAGGATGCTTACCTCATTTCCAATGGTCTTAATCTTCTCCATCGCATCCAAAAACAGCTTTTCTGCTGCCTTCCAGCTGAAACAAGTGGCAAAAGCAAATCTGTATATTAGAGAAGCCAAATCATGGCTGTAATTATCACATGGCTTTATTTGCAATGAGACTCACTCTCCGTTCTGGAAGGCTACCACAGCCACCTCGTGTATGACAAATGGATCCTCGGGTGCGATGCTGAGGGCCTGGCTGAAGAAGCGCTCGGCCAGCTTGGAGTTGTTGGTCAGCCCGTACTCCAGGCCAATGTACAGCATGGGCAGGTGGCACCTGTGGTCGGGGTCAAAGGTCACCGCCTATCACGTGCTGACAAGGGGGCCATAGCCTGTGTTACTCTGTGTCACCTGTCAGCTGGACATTGAATTCCAGTTACAGTGCTTGTATCACTGATGTATTATTTTCCAGAGGATGCTCAGGATTGTAAACGTCCAGAGAAACATACCCCTTCATCAGCTGGGCCGCAGTGAAGTAGGCAGCCATGGCCTGGTCGTGTTCGCTCTCCACGGCAAACGAGTGTCCGTACGCGATCCAGGCCGGGCCGTACTTCCTCTCCAGGGTGGTGGCTTTGCTGAAGGGAGGAACCATTTCTGCTGACTGAAAACCCTCACTGCAGTACACTACTGCCCATTACTATGGAACGGTATTATTTTCACTTCAGCTTTATTTTTTTGTGGTGATATTGGTCATTAAAATCTTTGCAATAAGGAAGGAAAAAAAAACAATGAATACTCTGTGTGTGGAGTTTGTATCTTCAGCCCATGTTGCACAAGCTTTACACCAAAGACATGCAGTTTTCTGTATTCAAGTCCCTAATTTGGCCATGGTGTCCAAGTGTACATGCGAGTGACCATAGAGAGGCTAGAGGACGGATGGATGGATGGATGGATGGATGGACGGATACATTAAGGTAGTTGATTTCCCTCCAAACAGCCTTACCTGAGGTACCTCCTTGCATGTTCATTTTTGTGTCCGACCATCAGGTAGTAACATCCAACAGCAAACCAGGACACCTGAGGTACGATATGCAAACTTATAAATGGGGCACTTCTGATAACACAATATGACAATTAGCAGGAAACACAGAAATGGAGAGTGAGTTCGCTGTGCAGTTATATGCACAGAACACAGAACCCAAACAGGGGCTTCTATTGTGGATGATGGGGAAAGGGAGGAGAGATCTACTTACAGGGCTGTTAGGATACAAATCCACCAGTTTGTGTGAGAGGTAAAACAGCTCTGTAAGGGTAAGAACAAAACCACTGTTTACAAATTCTGTCTGCCCTTCACAAAGCGAACCTCAGCAACACAAGCATCACACAGTGGCCCTAGGCAACACAGGTGTCACACAGCGGCCCTAGGCAACACTGGAGTCACAAAGCGAACCTCGGCAACACAGGCGTCACAAAGCGAACCTCAGCAACACAGGCGTCACAAAGCGAACCTCAGCAACACAAGCGTCACACAGTGGCCCTAGGCAACACAGGCGTCACAAAGCGAACCTCGGCAACACAGGCGTCACAAAGCGAACCTCGGCAACACAGGCGTCACAAAGCGAACCTCGGCAACACAGGATTCACACAGCGACCGTCGGCAACACAGGTGTCACACAGCAACCCTTGCAAATGCACGCCCCCAAAGTACAGGTAGCTGATCTCACCGTTGGCTTTACTGAGCTCCACTAGAGTTCCTATGTGTACTGGTAGACAGTTAGCATGGAAAGGGTCTTTCACCATCACCCTGAGCAACAGAGAGACAGAAAGAGAACAGAAAGATTTCAGATCATAATACTAAATTACTGTTAGGACATTACAAAAGACAAAATGTAGGCAATAAATTACTAAAAAAACTGCAAGTGTAAGAAATATTATTTATTCCAAGATTCCGGAAACTTCTTCAGCCTCTGCTATCGGGGTGTAGTTATCAGGGTATTTTCCACTTACATGGATGTAAGCTGGTAGCACATTTTGAAGTCACAGTTGTAATAATGTCTCTCTGCCAGAGAAACCACTACATCCAGGTTGTCTTGGAGACCATTCACTGTGTCTGGGACAGTAATCTCACTGGGTTTGTTATACTGCGAAAAACATACAAAAAACATGTTAGGCCATTAACTACATAATAATTATATATACTTTAAAGGTATCAAAACAATCTTTTTCTTTACAGTACATTTGACAATCAGTAAACAAAACTGATCAGAATATAGTCATCGGTCCATCTGTCTTAAGCGCAAAAAGAAGTCACTAATCATGAGAACATAAATGTACAAAGGAGAGGAGGCCATTCGGCCCATCAAGCTCCTCTGGGGAGAACTCAACTAATAGCTTAAAGTTGTTAAAATCTTATCTAGCTCTGACTTAAAGGAACCCAGGGTTTTAGCTTGCACTACACTAGTAGGAAGACTATTCCATACTCTAACTACACGCTGTGTAAAGAAATGCTTTCTCAAATCCAGTTTCAAATTTCCACCTATGGCAACGGTTTCTTGTATTTGAACTAATATTGAAGTAACTATTTGGCTGAACAGCATCCAGACCCGTTAGAATCTTATATACCTGGATCATGTCCCCCCTTAGTCTCCTTTGCTCAAGGCTGAAGAGATTCAGCTCAGCTAACCTCTCCTCATAAGACATTCCTCTAAGACCAGGAATCATTCTTGTAGCCCTACGTTACACCCTTTCCAAGGCAGCAATGTCCTTTTAAAGATATAGTGACCAAACCTGCACACAATATTCTAGGTGGGGTCTTACCAAAGAATTGTATAATCGTAGCATCACTGGGCATTACCTACATCATGGCTGTAAGGATCCTGTATAAGTACAGCTAGATAAATGAACATTATTAAAACGCTACTTATGTATTTCAAACATTCCCAGACCTTCTGATATTAAGATCATACATAGTCACCTTCTTCAGCTTGTTCTCAAACAGAAAGCGTAACAGTTCCTCCTCTTCCTCGGTGCACTGCTGACTCAGAGGCAGTGAATCCAGGAAATCACTTTCTGTGGTGATGCAGTTACAGTAAGCATTACAATGCAACATCGGAGCAGGTTTTAATTTTGCTTTTGAAAATTAACTTGATTGCAACCTAATTTAAAGTCAATTGTATAAAAAAATCTAAATGAACAAAGTAAGAATAAGGAACAGCTATTTAAGTTAAAAAATCTGGAACTCTCAGAGGAAACCCCACAATGACACGAGGAGAACATGCAAACTCCAGACACGGAAACTCGAACCCAGGCCCCAGAGGTGCGATTGTAATTAGATGGACTGTAATAAAGTATTAATATAAATCTGATCCACAAAAAAAACCTTTTACCCGCTTTTTCTTTTATTATGCCAAAATAAATTAAAAAACAAGTCTTATCATAAAAGATTAAAACATTTTACAGGATGTAAAATACATGCATGGATTAATGCAGAAAACCTTTGGTTCTGTGGACTACACTGCCCCACAGATGCAAAACACAGGACTTTCATTTTCAACTGTCCACCCACGAGTAGTAGGTAGGTAAATGGCAGTTTTTTCCCCCAAAAACGGAGCTTAGTTTAAGATATCTTGACATAAATGAGAGCCTAAGTGACCAGATATCAGTCATAATTTTTTTAATATAAATTTCGCGTTTGTAAGGTAATACATGGCTGCCCCACACCACAAGAAACTTAATACTGAAATTACAGAGGAGTACCATCTGAAATCATTCACAATGATCTTGGCTGCCTGTTTTTCAGGCTGTTCAGACATGGTGCGCGGTCATAACTGCTTATTTGAGTAGAGGAAGTGTTAAGATAAATGTCAAGTAATAGATTTATGTATTAACAGTCAAGGGTACTCCCACCAACAGTACTATGGAAATCTAGCCAAAGTCTGTTTCTACAGTTGCACAACACCTAACAAAGAAACTCTTTAGTCTATGTAAGCATATCTGATCACGCTTGTTGCTAAAAAGTACAAAACATTTTAAAATTCCAAGAAGATATTACTTGGAAGTATATTGGTTTCCTCTTTGATTACAAATCCTGCCCAGAAATTGCAGCGTTAGCAGAATTGGGTGATCATGTGTCAGTAAAGGGTGACCGCCATCCATTGCCAGGAGCAGTGACACTTTCTCACCTTCTTGAGCTGTCAGCATGTGATAAGAGGTCAAGAGGTCAAAAGCCTCGAAGCAGTAGACGTCAAGTTTTAATGCCTCTTTGTAGCTGGCAGTGGCCAGTGGACGGTTGTCCATAGCGTCATAGATCTTTCCTCTCAATAAACAGATGGAGCTGCTGATCTGGAGAAGAATGAGATGAAGCATTAACTATGGTCCGAAATTCAAAAGAAAAACTTCGACAAAATTTATTCCAAAAGTCAAGTGACATCACCAAAAAAACAGGTAAAACCAAAGTAAAGTTTTGCAAAGCAATCTTGTTAAATGAATGAAACGCAGGGATCTAGAACAACTGGATGTGCTATGAATCCAGTGTGTGACTGTATCTCTTCCCAGTATCACCGCTGTTTGCTTACTTATATTCCCTGTTTGTTTGGTGGTTTGTTTTTCTTCCTTTCTTTGTTTATTTATTTATTCACTCTTTCCTCCGTCCTATGATGCTCTTGACTTTAGGCAGACAGTCAAGTGTTCAAAGTATGTCTTGCAAGTTCAAAGCCATACAGGGGTCTCACACACCAAGAAAAAATGATTTGCTTTGATTTGGCTTGACTTGACTTGAAAGGAAGAGTTTAGATCCCTGCACAACGACAGACATCCCACCTCTCTGGGAAGTTTCAGGAATTTCCCGTGAATTGACAGCAGCTTAATCACCCACGAACGACGAGCAATATCCTGGAAATCTTTTGTTCTGCTATTCAGTGATGGCAAAATGAGGAAGTAAGATTCACTGCCACAACTCCGCCCCAACTGGTCAGCAAATTTAACCACCAGCGCACCCTAATGGCAGCATTTTTATATCATCATACCATACAGATATTACACCACAGTATTAGGATTATAATGGTTTTCCTCATGTTCTGTTAAAGGCATAATTTTCAGTTCGTTACGCACAATGAAATGAATTAATGTATTTATTGACACAGGGGAAATGTTCAACATGGAAAACATTAGGTTAACTGTGGCTGCGAGTTGTTTATGGCTAATGCTGTTAACAGTCAGTCAGTCGGTGGTTTGGAAACCCTTTTGATTCTCCAATAAAATACACCAAGACCAGAGAGGGAGCAGCTGATAAGACCTAGACTGTCTGCCGACTATGTTGCTGGAAACACATCCAGCGTGCTAATTCAACTGAGATGATCATCCAAGAGTGTGTCACAGAAGCAAGGCAGAAACCACCTCGGCAAGTTAATGTCCCCATGGGATTTTTGCCAGGAAATTCAGGCCGAACTAGAGAGGAGTTTATCGCTATGGATATGCAATCATACTTGGTAGTAGAGAACACCGGATTTAGATTAAATTTATTTCATTGTGATTGTTATGATGCTGTAATTTTGATTTATTAATTTTACATATCTATGTTTACAATATGCAAATAAGCATCTGCTAGCTTTTCCAGCCTTCCTTTACCTGTGAGTCAGGTGTGAAGCCTCTGACCAATCAGAATCAGTAATCATTAAACTACCTGGGAGAACTGTAAACAAAGCCTGAATTTGGAATCGAGGACCAGATTTGAAGAACCCTGCCCTACATAGTATACAGTATTTTGAAAAGAACTGCTGTTTCAATTTTTCCCCAATAAAATTTGCTGGGGTGGGGGAGGAGGAGGGCATATATACAGCAGTATATAATATTACCATAATACCCCCCACAGAAACCCCTCCTGGTTGTACCTCCTCCTCCTCCCAGAAATCAATATGCCTACGGTGGGATGTTTGCTACAATCAGAGCTTCAATGTGCTTTTATCAACTCCGAAGTTCTACAAATTGGCTGTTTGGCCCGTTACTGGTGAAACTGACAATGCAGGTGATTCATAAGTGTCAATCGTTGATACAACCAATAATAGGAGCCTTATTAATAAACATTTTAGTCGTCATAATGCTATTGATATCGCACAATACTAATTTATTTGTTAGTCATTATTAGTTACCTAATTAATTATAGAATATATAAAGGAATAGATAAATAAAAGCAATAATAAAATCACAATAAGTCCACACAGCAACAGTAAAATCATTCAGAATGCAGAGATCAACCAAAGCAAAAAAATCAATGTAACAGGGGTATTTTGCTGTACTCATTTTACAGTACACTGTAGCATAATTTTTAATAAGTGTTTGCCATTTCTAAGAGAGTCACCTAGCTAAAAACACACAAGATTTACTTTACAGAACAACTACTCAAATCATCAGATTAACATGTTGAAATGTGTTGTGGTTCTTCTAGCATTAATCCAAATACTGATTACATCATATCCAGTTATACACCTTTAAGGACAGTTATCATGCATTGCGCACATCAGCTTGCGTGCATTCTGCAGTGCATTCTGCAGTGTGCTTTCAGATGATCATCAGCAGACTTACTGAAGCAGGGGACATGCCCCAGTCCTTGACAGACTCTGTAACGACACTGTCCTCCTTCACACTCCTGTCCAGCAGCTTCTTACTCACAGGTTCCTCCATGTCCAGAACATCGAGTGCTTGCTGATACTCTTTAGCAGCATACTAAAAGAGGAGAAGCAACAACTATTTATATCAGCGTTTCCCGACCTGGTTCTCGGGGACCCACAGGCGGTCCTCCCAGCTCCCAGTGCTGAGCTCACCAGTCACTGCCCAAAGTCAGTGAAGGTACTCCCAGTGACACCAGTGGAATACTGCTAACTTTTTGGCCAACCTTATTAATGCCCCAGGCTGAGTGGTAGCTTAGCTTCTCAAGTGAGAGAACAGTGAATGGGAGAACATTAAGAGAGAAATTATAATTTATTGACATGTTCTTCCACTAGTGAAAACTTAAATTCCACCCGGTTTTATCAGCCAAAAGATATATTGGTTGAGCTCTATTGTAAACATGATAGCTGAAATGTAATTCCTCAGTGGCAATTATTCAGATACATTCTCCATTAAAATGCACAAGCATCGAGAGACACTCCCATGAATTGACAAAAATCCTCACCATGAAAAACTGAGGTGAGGAGAGTTCTTAAAGTAATTATCAATTCTATGAAAAGGTTACCTATGTTTCTGTCATCATGCGGTTCAGTTAGCAATACTCACATGGCATCTTGCTGCAAGGTACTGACATGCTCCATATAGCTAAAGGAAAGAAATGCATGTTACAAAAGCAAAGACATCAATACAGAAATGCAACATCTCAGAACCCAAGTTCATTTCACATGCATGGACCTTTAAATTACAATTGTAACATATCTATTGAACCAAAACAAAGACAGTCAGCACAAGAGAAGGAGCTCTACCTTATCTAGCTTCCTTGAGCGCAGGGCATGAGCAGCCCTGTGATACTGGGATGTAAGATAAAGGCACTGTGCTAGCCAGTAAGCGTCCTGGGGGTCTTCTGCAGACAAAGTATTCATGGGTCAGAAAACATCACACTATGGACATTTGGAACACCACAGAACATTCCGAATCCCACATTTAATTTTACTGCATAACAACACAAACAGCTGATTGAAGTGAGCAGGACAGAGGTCCCTCATCAGTCTTCCAACTGCTTATCCAGTAAGGGACTGAGGTGGGGCCTGGAGTGTATGTGAGGCAGCACAGGGAAGAGTGTGTCAGATAAGTCCTCGGGACCCTCAGACGGTCCACGTTTTTGCTCCCCCACGGAGTTGGAAGGGAGCAATATGATGGACCGTCTAGGGGTCCCCAAGGACTGATCTGAGAAACACTGCCATAGGACACAGGGTAGGGAACAAGAGATGCAAGGGTGCATGCACGCACACACACACACACAGATTGGCCAAAATGCATTGTGGGAAGAAACCAAAATTCTAGCAGGAATCCAGCATATTACATGCAAACTGTATGCAAAGCTACACTGTCATGCGCTGAGCCACCATGCCGCCCCATGGCAGAAAAGTGCAGAACCGAAAGCTCACCGTGTGATAGGGACGCAATTTTGTCTGCCCAAAACAGAGCGCTCTGGTACTGTTGCTGCAAACAGAGACAACAGGTAAATGACTGAAAACTACCATCTGTAACAGATAATAATTTTATAATGTCAGCCTAGTATTATTCAGGTTATGGAAATCATATGAATAGTAGGGAGATGCACTGAAATACATTGAACCATGTTTATTTCACTTATTTGACTAAGCTATTTGAGTTCTCGGATTTCAGTTAATTCAACTAATCATCCATGCATCTAAGTATAAACTCAATCATTTTTATTCCCCGTCCTAATGTCAGTTCTCGGGACATCAACATTAATGCAAAGAAAAATGTATGGAAAAATAACCGACCAACCAATCTTCTCAAACTGATATGACTGACAGAGGCCTGGTTTAATAAATCAATCGGTAGGAATTAATATGTCCTCCACGAACGGCCTCTCGTCTGCATTTATCTGCGATTCTATGTATTTTACACCGACGCTAATTTCGGCGACCTATGAGGTGCTGGGATTTTCTCACCCAACTCCACCATGAACTTAAACCAGTCATCTCACCTGATCGATATAATGTCGCACACGTTTCCGCAGTCTGTCAAGATTCATGGTTAATTGCTTTTAGAGTTCCTTCCTATCTGAAAACGACTTACACTACAGCTATGTTATAAAATGGGACCATAGTAGCTTCTTTGTGTTTATTCAGTTCATTTTCTTTTCTTAGATTACCGTCGCACATTCATCAACAGTGCTCGTTCGGAGTCCCGCGGCTTCTCTTTACCGGCAGTGTTATAACGAAAATGTTCCGGCGGGAAATCGCAGGCAGCCGCATATTGGTTCCGAGTCCACAGCGCCCTTCTGCGATTACTTCTTACCCCGGTCATCAAAAATAAAAATGAAATAAAATAAAAATAAAAATGTGTAATAGGTGTGCGGTTGCGTGCATGTGATGGGCTGTCTTGTGTTCTGTGTTGTAAGGCGATGAAATATGTGTGGGTTTATGGAAAACGGTTGTAAATATCACATCATTCAGTTTAACTAATGTAACTAAAGCACCCGTGCCGCCTGCAGGTGAAAATGTAGTATTACATATAACAAATTTCTGTCACTCAGCTGTAAACGACTATCAGTAGTAGTAGCTAAAACACTTTTTAGGTGAATTTGTCCGTTGATTGTATCTGTCAATAGCATCACAGATTTGCCACTGAAATAAAAGCCTTGCATGTAATTCTTGAACCTTGAAACAGCATCCACATTCATTTTATTCATTAAACTACATTCCTTTATGCATGATGGAAACTAGAACAAAACATGAGACGTGTTTAAATTCACAAAAAAAACATAGTTCATTTAATGACAGACAATTAATATTGAGCGCACAAGTTCAAAATATGTTTTCATTGTACTGTGAAGAGAGATGTCTTGATTCCCCATACTTTTTGTTTTCATTTTGATTTAATTTTATGTGACGCGTGCCCAATTGTCTAGAAAATGCTGCAAATTCATAAACCTTAATTACTGGGAGAAGAAATGCGGTTTTTACTCTTCGCCGGTGTAAGCTTCTGAAATATGACGTCAGGGTTTCAGAGCACTGGGCGGTGAAGGTTTCTGTTTTGAAGGCACTGCTACTTGGCAACGCCGCTGTGTTTTCCAGTCTCTTGTGTCTCCAAGTACAGATTTCATATCCCTTGGCTCCCCTTGGCTTTGTGTTATTGTGTAGCGTAGGTCCCCCGGGGACTCCGATGAGTGTGCCCTTTCTCTGTTGTCTTGTTTTATTACGCTGATATTAAGCGTGTGAATTATGGACTGTAAAATGCTCTTCATCTCTCTCAAGTCATATGCAAAAATCAGCGGTGATGATTATACTGTGCAGCCTCCTCTTTGTTCAAATAATACATACGAACTGCTTCTTAATCACTGGTTGTATATATTACTCACAGAATTATAAAAAATCGATAATACATCCTGGGGCTCCTAAAATTCCTGTGGATAAAATGATATAACCAAACACTTTAAAAGGATTTAGGCACAGTTATTTTGCCTCGGCTCTCCATATGAGTTCTCCTGTATATTCATCTTTGTTTCATGTGCTTGGACTCAGACAAGAGGCTTTTAATATCTTCAGAAGCTGTCTGTCCAATTCATTGGCAATCAAAAGTGAGTGCTTGGGGAATATGTTGTGCCTTAAAATATGATAAGCATGCAGAGGACGTCTGTACAATATCTGAGCAGGGCTAAATAAGTGTTGTAGTGGTTCTTTGCAAAATCCAAGGTACTTTTTAAATATATGGAGCTATTCTATCTGAAAATTAAACTCATTAAAACCTGACTTAAAAAAGGATTTCATTAATGTAAATTATGTGTGTTACGAGACAATGCTTATAGTAAATTCCCTGGGAAATAGGAGAATTCAGCACCAGTAGATAAAGCACATTCCCTGTTCATGTGGCTGATATAAGATGAGACCGTCTTGGTGAAATAAGGTCTGTATTCATATCTTTCTTCATTTCTGGCTACAAATATAACACATACAGTTACTCCAACTGTATTTCCTTTTCCTCAAGGTGTTTAAAGAGCTGCATATTCCATGGAGTCTAAGTTTATGCTACATCCAATAGTCAAATTTTACCCAGTAATTCCAATTTATTAAATTTGTGTTTTTTTAACAGTGAATACTGTCATTGTAATTCTTTGTTAGCAATAGATGTGGATATTATTCAGTCATCTGGAGGATTATGCCTGGTGGGACTGAGGAAAAGTGACACATCACCCCAACACACCAGCGGTTGGAATATATTCTTCTTGTGCAACCGGACATGCATGTTTAAGTTTGTGGAACAGATTCACCAGTTTGAAAGCAAAGCAGCATTTTTAGTTTTTAAAACGTTATTTGAACAATGTGCTGACTCCATATGCATTTTTTTTCTTGGTCAATTATGCCACAAAATAATCAGTATTTCTGCCTGGAGACATTTACCTGATTGTGTGTCATTTACAAGAATATCACCTGAAAATGAGCGGCACAAAGGTTTTCTTTGTTCCATTTAACACCAATAACATGTGGATTATTACTAATCATAACAGATGTTTTAACTGTTTACCACTCTCTACTGTGTGGACTTCCATTGTTGTTGTTGTATGCTGTTTGTATTTTATTTTTTTAATTTACTCCCCCTCCCCCACAAGTAATTATTGTTCAGTGTTTATTGGTTCTAGCCATCTGATGCGCCAGAGAATTGCAATTTCGTTTTATGTGTGTGAAAAGATTATAAAATGAGGTGACTTGACCTGGATTAGTTTTATGCCACGTCAGCTCAGCCAGTAGTGATGTTGCTTCATGCCTCCAAAAGTCTGGGTCAGCCCCAGCTCTCGTTGTTGTGGAATCCTGTGTTTGAGCGAGTCTCACTGCCTTACTGGTATTCACTCACACTGCGAAGGTTTGCTGCTGAGTGAAACGGGTGACCCCCAAATTAGCTACAGTGTGTCTGTGACCAGCTGTCAAAAGACTGGAGCCCTATCTGGGGTATGCAATGGCTCAATCTGATAAATGGTATCGAAGGTATGTTCATTCGTGCACTTTATCAAAACACAAGCCTATCTTAGGTCCTCATACAGCAGTATTGCAGATTTAATAAGAGAAGCCGCCTTGTTTTCCTTGATGCCTCTCCCTTAAAAACACGAGCTGGGGATTTTCCCATGGGACATGAATTCTTTCCACTGTGATGGAAAGTGACTAAGGTAACAGCCCCAAGGGATGCTGGTGTTTAGCTGTATGGCTATATCATATTTGAACAAAATTACACAAATATAATATTATCAGGGTTTATTTATTTATGATATTCTTTAATGTGGCAAAAGTATTCAGTGTTTTTCAATAAAAAAAAAAAAGTAATGACCAGTGAGTTTCCATGTTTTTCTCAGCCTGCAACCCTGACCAGAACAGAAGGAGGAGGGATAGATGTTTCATCTATTATTTTACTGGTTATGCATGACAGGGGGTGGGCAATCATATCCATAAAGGGCCGCTGTGTATGTGGCTTTTCACTGCAGCTCCCTAATTACACTACTAATCAGAGAGCTGATTGGCTGACGAGTTCTCACACCTGGGTTTGAACAGCTGACCTGAAGGTTACCCAGAAACCTGCATACACACCAGCCCATTGCGGATAAGATTGCCCGATGAATAACCTGATGCATGGTAAATAACAGCTTGCTGGAAGCTTTTCCGGCACTTTCCAGCTTGCGACGCTGCAGTTTCTGGTATTCCCACCCACGTATGTCCTGGTGTAGCATGGGCATTCTCCAGGGGAGGGGCCCATTTTATCATCATCTGACATAAACCCGGTGACATGTAACTATGCCACAATGACTTTTTAATGCTTTTTTAAAAAGGCTTTCATCGCTCCCACTGTACCATGCATATAGCTTTATTCTTACTACTAGCTTACAATACTGATATAAACTGCTGTGTAATAAGGAGCCGCTGCAGGTCTGTCTGATTGTTCCCAGCAGGGCTGCATTTTTTTTGCCATCTTCAATCATCCAACACAAGACATAACCGATGAACTGTCTGTTCCGCAAAGAGTGAGGGAGAGTGCAAGTGCAAAAACGCCAGGTGGCCCAGTTATGCTGACAGTTAAGAAGAGGAATAGGGCAACATATTAATTACTCAGTGGTGTAAACCGTACGTTTATTAAGAGAAAACCTGAGAGCTGTGGGATAATTTTGAGGCATCTATCTATGTTCTTAACAGGAAGCAAACGGTACAGGATCTGCACATCCATCCATCCATCCATCCATCCATCCATCCATCTGCTAACCACCGCTGACACACAGTTATAATTAATTTAGAGACTCCAATAAGCACAAGTACAAGCTTTTGTACTGTGGGAGGAAACTGGAGTGACCTACAACACAGAAACCCAGTGGGCAGCATTAGCGCCAGATCAAGGCACAGGCAAACCAGGGAGCTGTCGAGGGTCGGATCTGTACCAGGGCGGCCAGATGAAGTCATGGGGAAAAAAAAAAATAGAATAAAAATAATAAAAAAAAAATATATTATATATATTTATATATATACATACACAGACACTCCTCTACTTACTTTTGAAATGTTCATAAGTTGTTATTCAACATCATTTTAAGGGTATATGCAAGTACAAAGAGCTAGGATGCTGGGAGTCCGAACGCTACGCTGCTGCGCGGCGGGAGTAGCGGCCAAAGTCGTACTAGGAGGAATTGGTGAGCAGAAAAAACAAATTGTTGTTGCGGACAGGAAACGGGAGCCCAATGAACACAATTTGGACTTACAGCTCGTATGTCTGAAAGTTCGTAAGTTGAAAGTTCGTAAGTAGAGGAGCGTCTGTATCTCCAAAATAATACTGTCATTTAGAAATAAGAATAATTACACAAAATTACAAATAACAACAAAATAAAACCATATGCATTAAATTGTTTATGTGCAAGCAGAATTTGTAGTGTCGTTACTCCCCTTCACACAGAGAAGGTGGGATTCAAACCCCCAACCAGGAGGACTGAGGCAGCCACACTTCCCACTGAGCCACCATATTGTAAACCAAACTTAGTAACATCACACAGGTAATTCCTGAGACGTGATTTCAGCACTTAAAGAGTTACAGTACTGTAGTATCACAACAAAGGTGAGCAGTGACCTTCTGTTAGGGCAGCCGGTGATCCTCCGCGGGTCGGCTGATGCCGGTGCCCCATGGGCAGTGCGGATTCGGCTTCCAGACTTCGCTGCGTGTGCCCAGGTGGCCTCATGTCTGCCCCCAGGCGCAGAGTCACCTAGGTGTGAAGGATAGGAAAAAACTACAGCGAGGACTGACATTAAGACAGGAGACAGACATAAGGACGTACAAACATGTGCTGCAGCATTCAGGTGTTCGTAAAGCTATCTGTGATCTGAGCATGTGTTCCAGATTGTGCGCATTAATTAGTTTGGTTAGGTAAGCAGGGGCCTGACCTTTCAGTTCTGTCTAATTGAGCAAGAGAATTTAAAAATCCACCCTGAAATTGAATGGAAGCCAGTTAACACAGATGAGCTGGGATTTTTTTAGATCTGATTACACTTCTTGCTGTGGCATTTTGAATTTGCTGTAGGGCACAGAGTGTGATTTGTGCTTCCTGAGAGTACAGAACTACTGAAATCTGCTATAGACAAAGGCTTACATTATGGTCTCGCTGTCTTCACCAGTAAGAAAATGCTTTAGCCTTAGGAGGCATATTTGGGAGTATTAAAGAGTATTTAAAGTTCTATGTGTAAAAGGCCTGTGTCTAAAATGACTCATACATTCTGAGCTGATCTAGCAAAGTTAAAGCCAAAGGTGGATAGTTCAGGTCCAGAAAGTAAAAATCTGGACCAAGGTTTTCTTTCAATCAACCAGAAGAGTATAAAGAGTTACAGAGAAAAATCTTGGTCCAGATTTTCACTCTCTGGACCTGAACTATCCACCTCTGGTTAAATCTGACTGACAACGGTGTGCTTTGTTATTGATGTAATTGCACTTCTGGAGTGGCACAGTGACCTCACTTCTGCAAGGCTGTAGTGTAGTTTTACATGTATTTGTGTGAGTTTCCTGCAGGTCTTGCAGTCATCTCAAAGTCAGTTAATTGTCTTTCCGCTGCCCATAGTATGTGAGTGCGTTGCTCGTGATGGGCGCTGCCCTGACTTGTGCCCATTGCTTCTTTGAAAAGCTCCAGTCTCACCACGACCCTTCAGTAGATAAGCAGCTATGGAAAATGGATGGGCGCCAATTGCAGCTTTTTTCAAGAGAGGTTTCAAAATACCCATTTTTACTTTTTGAAGGAGGCAACAGAGAACGTGACTCTACATGACTGATTGCATGTCACTGGCGTTGGAATGAAAGCTAACTTAACTTGGCAACGCAGAAGACACATACTACTGTCGTCAACATCATGTCCTGCAAGATACCATATTTCACTCATATTTGGGGCAGGATGACTGGTAGCAGGAGGGCTGGATCTGAGAGACACTCTTTCCACCATCTCAGCAGATGAATCCCATGTCATCTGACACATAAACCATCCCAATGTCATTTGGCATCCCTTAGCAACACAAACGCTGTACCTTCCAGGTAGGCCTGCAACATACATTATTACAACTGCTTTCTGCAATAGAAGATGACTATCTATACAAACATTGATTACTCACTTAATCTGGATGACGGATGCAACCCCCATCATGGACAACAGAAACCAAGGTTTAGCAACAGCCTTACATGGTGCGATGAGGTAAAACACGTACAGACAGTATGCCACAGAATAGTTAGCAAGCAGCCTGGTCTTACTGGAGGACAACAACCCAAAGAAAGAAGGGTGTAAGTTCGTTCATTAAATTGTTTCTATTAACATGATGACTCTTACATCCCCAGACCTCATTGGTCTATACCAGCGTTTTTGCACGTTTTGCTCCCTCCGAGCTCTCAAAACCAGGTATTCCGTGTTCTTGATTGGCTGGGAGCTGTGAGGGAGCAAAAATGTGGATTGTCTGGAAGTCCCTGAGGACAGCTGGGAAAAACTGGCCCATAGAGCTGACAAGCAAAGCAGTGGACTAATCGAGAAAACATGCAGTGTTCGCTGGAAGCATAACGTGGTGTTCAGGCAGCAGATCTCAGGTAGTTCTGTGCCACTCGGTAACGTGGCTGCTTAATGGAACTAAACATCTCCTATCAGGTGTGTAATTGTCTGCGGTCGGGAACACGGAGGTCATACGCAGCCCACTGCTCTGCTATGACAAGCAGGCAGCTTCAGTTACTGTCAAAGGCCAGTTGTGTCTAAGTTGGCACAGGAATTAAGTTCCTTTACTTCAGTTGGGTGAAGCCAGTGATGCCACCTGCCAAGGCATGACAATGAGTGAAGGTCACATCAAAATAGTTTAATGATCTTGGATGGTGACAATATGACAAAGCGAAGCAGAACAGTAATGTAGAATTTCAAAGCGTAACAACAGAATATGTGGATATCAAAACCAGGACACAGTATTTAAACAGGGACAAATGAGAAGAGACCACACAAGCCTGCTTTATATATCGCCAACACAAGGTCACGTCTGGCGCGTTTCCAGAATCAAACAGCTGGTGCACATGGACCCTGAAAAGAGAGAGTTGTCCTCTCAGATTAAATATCCTTTATTGCCCATGTGCCTTAGATATGTGAACCTTCTTCACAAAGCGAGGCTGCTGACTATTGCAGAAGCTAAGCACGTAGATTTGTCTCCTTTTGTTTAGTTTAAAAGTGCTCATGGGAGTTTTACTCAAAAATGTTCTAAGTGCAGAACAAAACATGACCGGTTATCTCTCTGAACCAGTCAGATTGTAGAGGAGGTGGGTCCAAACAACTAGAGGAAGCGGGACCAACCAATCAGATGTCTTGGTCCCACCTCCTCTAGTTGCTTAGACCTTCCTCTTTCACTATCTGACTGGTTATCGCTCTCAACCAATCATTTTTCATTCTGCCCTCAGAGCATTTTTGTGTAAGTAAAACTCCCACAAGCTTTAGAGACTTGTGTTGTTCTAACTCTGTGGTTATTCAAACTGTAATCTGGGCCAATTCATACCTGTACAATTACAATGTTCACGCACTGGCAAATACTAAGACAATTCAGAGACACCAACTCACAAGAACTGCAATGTCTTTGAACCCAATCCTGTCCAGGGAGTGTCCTGTCATGCACTGTGGTATCTGGCACAACATCCAAGCTCGCATCAACCCTGTTTTGGATAAATGGTTGCAGAATAGAGGGATGGATAGACATTACAAGAAAAGTATAATATGGGCCAGCTGTGTAAATTAAAACCAAGGAGGCAGATCTGTAAGCATACTAATGATTAGCACCTAAGGGTGCTATAGATCTATTAGCCATTTGATGGTAATGTATGCAGGCATCATCAATTCAATGCAAAGTAAAAGATGCATCCCAGCTGCATAGACAATCTACAGCTTTACATATTGACCAGTTTGGATAGAGATTCATTAGTGAGGTTGGGTTTAGTGCTTGTAATTGGATTGGGGTCATATATCAGCTAGTCAGCATCCTTTTAATGACCAGATATAATTAGAACAGAATATCCACGATAAATTCCATTTATTCAGCTGTGCAGCTGTTAAAACACTGCATGCCAACTCTAATATGGAGGTTTTTAAATACATTTTAATACATGAATATTCCCGTTAGTCTAGGTGTACTGCCATTTTAATGTGGCAGATTAACCAACAATTTACAACCCACCCATGCAAGGTTAACAGTGATGTTATTAAGGAAAGAAATTAATTTAGAAAGAAATTGAGGTTTCATGTTTTATTACTGCTTAAAAATAGTGCAGTGTGTATTTTGCCTGCGGTTTCCATGTGTGATTGTGTACCTGTGGAGGAATTAAAAACAATAAAAATGCTTAATTTTCATCTTCCATCTGTGTTTTGAATTCATCACGATTTTTATAGATTTTAAAAACTTAAATAGATTCCAGTTCTGCTGGCATTTCGATTTTAATAGAGCGTTTATAGTAATGTTGCAATATTATATGAAAATATTGGCACATTACCAGCATATGAGGGTACACTAGAAAGAAAAGAAGTTTAACGTAGAATACAATACAAAGTTTAGTATGCTATAAATAAAAACCATCCATTGAACTCCTGAAAGCTCTGCTGATGCCTTCTTTGGCGTGACACAGACAGCAGATCACTGCTTTTTACCTCGTCCAACTGAAATTCAGATCCCAGTGACCAAAGGTTAATTAAATAATTTACACTGGTGATGCAATCACGTGCCTCTTGTAACGTATTTTCTGTCACCTGATCCATCCTTATTGTTCTGTGTTATTTACGCTCCTCATTTCTCCGCTCCCATTAGAGCCAGTAGAGACCGGATCCCATTGCAGTGAACCATGCTGTGAGACCTGTGGTTCAGCTCCTCCTCTCCCCGCTGATTTGGTCTGTTCTGTTTTTGTTTGTGTGCCTGTGAAAATGGTGAATGGATGAACTAACTGATGGATACCAGGGAGTCCCATCGCCAATGTACCAGGCCGAGAGCCACTGGTGGCTTTGTAATGGGGTTAATTTCCAAACTATACATTTGCACATTTTGACGACTTTTTTAAGGAAAAATGGAAACGCAGATCGATGAGCCCCCCCTGCTTTACCAGTCCATGACATTCTTGTATAATGTAAACATCACACAGATGGGGACCCCTCACCTACAGATTCACTGTTTTTGCTATTTCTGTGATTATTCTCCAAGGCAAATATGGGAAATAATGAATGGAGTTTTCTTTCCACAAACCCATTACTCTACTTGAGTTGTTAGTCCTTGATCTATGTGGTGATGTGTCAAACTGCCATTTGAGAAGATGTAAGTACGGATATACCTACATGGATCCTCCTGTTGAAGTCAAATTCCATACTCACACTATTTCATTGTAAAACAGACGTAGATGTGGGCTGGTGAATGAGTGATCATTGAAATGAATTTCTAATAAACAACATTGTCATCTGCTGTTCTGTGCACACCACGCACATTATGATTACTTAACACAGCTGAAATCACAAGCAATTACCTTATTTAAAAAGCATTCTCACAATAATTTTATATAACAAAGTGACACTTGTGGTGCTGACCTTCCAGCAGTGATTAAATAGAATCTCTTGCAGAGTGGGAGAATGTCATCTCTGATGCATTAAGGCCTTTAGTTATACACTGTTTGCTAAAATTAACATGTCTTGACCCTCATCCATATGCTTTGGCTACGTATTCCTGGCCTACAGTGTACAACGTATGTGTTTCACTTACGCATTTTTTCTCACCACAGAATGTTTTGGGAATCTGAGTATTATTGTCTTTAAGACAAACAAGATCCCCCCCGCAATGTGATCTGTTTATAAGGGTTACTGCACTCAGGGACTGATGGTTACTAAATAATAATAATAATAATACATTTTATTTAAAAGGTGCCTTTCTGACACTCAAGGTCACCGTACAGGCATACATAAAATTTATACACACTACAAAGGATAAAATGCAAAAAAAATAAATATAAATGACAAATAAATGGATTTTATAATGAATAAATGCATCATAATTAAAAGTAAGTTCTTTGAAAATTACTTATTTAATGGTATTTTAAGCAATACATCTAGTTTAAATCACACTTTGCAGATGCTCTTAACTAAAGTGACAAACAAGTGAGAAAGTGGGGTCAGCCTTCCCCCCCGAGCAACTGGAGTTAAGAATCTTCCTCAGGGGACCAATGTTGAAACCATCATGGCGACCATGACACTTGAAGCGGTGACTTTCCGATCACAGGCACAGAGGTTTAACCCACAGAGTCACACACCAAGCCCTCGCTGGTTTAGACTTTAGCTAAGTCATAAACAAAGCGTAGCATTAAAAAGTTCCTCTGGCTGGTCAAACGCAGGGTAACCATTTAGCTCTGAAGGCTGACTGTAGATTTACAAAACAGCAAACAAGCTCTTCCCTTCGGCTCTGGGTGGAAAATGATGCCCTGGGATATGTGAAAATGTACGCGATAAACAGAGTAGTCATGAGCGACGTGATCGTACCCAGCTACCTTCTGGGAGGCAGATCTGGAAACCAGGGGAGAGTAAGCCCATGTGCTGCTGGGTCTCCCAGCGTGAGTCACGGCAGGACGTCCTCCGTCCTAAACCGGGAATCTGCTGGGGACCGCAGCCTCTGTAATAAAACGGTGACAGCTCTATTTCATGCTAAAATCTTAATAATAAAACATAAATATTATACATGCTTCCGATCAAACTTTTTGAAATTCTTCCACAGATTCATTTTCAATACTGATATCATTTGCTTTCCACTTCAGCAGTGCTATATTTGACGGCTGGGACTTGATTTATATTAGCTTACTGACCACTTTGAAGTTCAAACTCTACAGAGGACCTAAATTTAAGATTCCGGCGTAGGTCTGATATATAAAAGACTGAACAAAGACTCACTATAGTGACAGACATGAAACACGTCCAGTTTCAAACCTGGCTGCCACCAGTCAAGAAAAAATATCATGACTGTGAAAAGGATTGAGGGGGTTTGCATAAATAATTCACATAGAGGCATTTATGATATACTTTATGTGTAATTTGGTTTATGCAACCTTATTAACAGATGTACAGACATAAAAATGACATTAATCATTCTCATACATATTAAAGATGGCTGATCTACTGAACTTGAGAACAACTGCAGATGCTGTGGTTTCACTGACAACCCGCACAATGGGTCTCCTGAAAAACTAGTAAACATCTATTTTAACACATTGATATTGGGTTTTATTCGTTTTGGGGCACTTTTGTGAGCATTTATTGCATTTTATCATTCAAATCCTGGCATAGTTTTGTCTCAACATAGAACAGCTAAAATGTCTTTCCCTGCCAACATTCTTCATTTGACTCCCAGTGTCCCAGTGCAGTGCAGACTTTTTTTTTTAGCCCTGCTTCACTGTTATTAACTGAGTGATGAAATCCAGAGATTTAATTTCAAGTGACACCAGACTATGTCACCTTTATGCCAAGATAAGCTGGTACTGTAGTTCACAGGGCACATGTTTCACTGCTCTGTGTACATTTCAGCCCACATAGTCGACCGAGGATGAGCCAATGCAGTTGTCGCCGATCACACTGATAAACTGGACAGATGAGTGTTTCTACGGTAAATTTCATCGACAAGATAAAATTGTCTGTGGTGCATCGCCACACTTTTCACATATGAAAAAAGTGAAAATTTGCCACAGTGTATCTGTCGGGTCATTGCAGGTGATTCTTTAATTAGATTTGCATCAATAGACTTTTTTGATTTCCACTCTTCGAATCTTTGCCATGAAATAAATAATAAAAATATCTGTTTTCTTATGTAGGGATATGTACAAGTACCCTTTTAATTGACAAAAAATGGAACAGCTGCCTCTCTAGTCTGATTTAATACGTATTTAAGTTAATTTTACACCAAACTTGTACATATGGGGGGTATGGGCTTCCCAGGAGACAGGTGCTGATTGGGGGGGGAGGGCAGGCCCATCCATCACTCCATTCAGTTTCAGTAATGGCTTATCCTTCCTGTTCAGGGTCATGGGGGGTCTGGAGCCTATGGGCACAAGGGAACAACACAGGATGGCAATGCCAACCCATTGCAGGGCACAGTCACACACGCACACCTACGGGCAACTTGGCAACTCCAATTAGCCTCAGCATGATTTTAGGTG